CCTTAATGACAGGTAAACAACATGTGTAAATACACAGATCACAAAGATAGTAAAGACCTGTGTAAGTATGGGAAACAGTAAGACCCAATGATAGGCCAATTTGTCCTCATTATTCATGGTTGTGTGGATATCCTTTATGTGGCTGTATATACTACCTTTGACAGTGTGCTGAGATGGAACTTTTTGACTTCCTAAGTGCCTGGACTAGTCATGAATGGTTGGCCATAGAGGCTGACAAACCCTCTTGATAACTATGATTTTAAAAAAGCCTGTTTTATACTAATGCTCTACATCAGAAGTCCCTTCACATAATCACATGAGGCCTCCTTGACACTCATGTCACCAAACATAACAGCTGTCTGGGTTTAACTTATTCCCGCAAGAGCCTGTGTAAGAATTACTTTGTCACCTTTTCTCATGATCCCCTGCCACTTCCATCCCTGCCCCCAATCCCAGCACTAGGGATAGATCCCAGGGCTTCATCCATACTAGGTAACTCTACCGCTGAACTATGTTCCCAACCCTTTTCTGGTGATCTTAACCTAAAGAAAGTTCCCCCTGAATCTAAAATAATGTGTGCAGAAGATAACAAAATCTCTCTCTTAATAAAGGCTCAGTTCCTGGAAATTTGGGGCTGTATTTTCTTGTTGTCTATTTCCTGCTAGAGAAGGTGCTAAAGGCTTTTTTGCATGGCAGCAAGTTGTAGTTTTTGGTCCCTATGGCAACACAGTGATAAGCTGTTTCCCTACACCATGTCAGAATAGAAATGTCTCAGTGAGGCTGAAGGTACAGATTGATAGCCCTAAAGAAAACTATGAAGCAGGTAACACTGAGCTTCTTTTCCCCAGCAATCTTTCATTTGCTTTTCCTTTCTCATTTGCTCTGATATGACATTTCTTCCCTTGTAAGAGGAAAGGATCTGCTTTTAGGCTATTACATGAATTATACTTTGATGTGAATGAGCACTCAGGGTACTCCCACTGTAGGTAATTTATCTGTAACAGTGGGATGAGAGGTGAATGAAGCCTTCCCCTTGACAAACACATCATCCTTTAGGCATCTAGTCAGGAGGTTTGGGGACAAGGAGAGGGTCTGATTGAAAGAATGACTTTCTTTTTAAAATAATTTTGTCCTGACTGTAAAAGTTCATTATCTAAAACTTGAAAAATGCAAACAAGTATAGACAAATTAATTACACATAAATCAACAACCATGTCTAATAACTGATAATGAAACAGACTGAAGTTGGGGTACCCTTTAAAATTGAGAGAAACTTCCTCATGCTGAGAGTAAGGATGAGGGGTTGCCCACTTGGCCTGAGGGACATCAAAGTAGCAGAGAATGGCTATGGCCCTGCCCTGGCCTCTCTAACAAAAGCTAACTGTATCAGCATAGGTACATTTCCTGATCTTTGTCCCATTTTGCCACCTCTTCTTTTGCAAAAGTTTCCCTTGCCCTCAAAGTCTCATATTCCCTCATAGAGAGAAATTTTGAAACAAACTGTTTCTTCCAGCTT